AACGTTTGCCTACCTTCAGGGCAGATATTGGAACTATTTGTTGGCTTACTCCTGCAGTCTTCTAAAATACTAGGAGAACCTTCTTTATGTCAAATTAGTTCTTCTAATTTCAGTGATTAGTTTCTGATTTTGAGAAGATTTTCAAGAATTCAGTCAAGGACATTGGCTGCAAATATCTTTCATGTTTAAGATGTGTATTTAGTAGTTGGGATCAGAAAGCACATCCTGCGAAGTTGCAGATCCACGTCTCTAGTTCATACCCATTTTTTCTGCAAAAGTCACTTGACCTCAAGAGACTACTTTCTACTCCTTATTATGACTGTTTTTTAATCTATTTAATGGTTAGTATAAGATATTGTACCATCTTAGTTCATATTATTGAAAGTAGAGATTGTCTCAGCGCTTACATCATAAATTCCCAAAAAGTGAAGTTTGATAAGTTATCTGCAAAATGTCACCCAAGGCTGAAACTTGGCATACAACAGCTAAAGCAGCTATTTTTGTTTTTATTAGTGGAAAAAAACTTTTTAGAGTTAAAGCTGTGAATAAAACACTTGGGTTTGCTAGTCCCAGAAGCTTTTTTATATGCTTATATAACATGAAAGGTAACTCGGTTTAAAAGAATACAATTTCACAAGCAGCTCTCCAGGCTTCACAGTGATCCTTTTGTTTTAAAATACAACAAAACAGAAATGGGTAAAATAATGCTTGAAAAGTGGTGGTCTATTTAAAGCTTCTTAATTTCTATAGCAAAAAAATCCTTTTTTTCCCCACACACTTACATGGTAGATGATAGCATTTGGTAAGTCTCAGAGTACGCATACTTAAAACCCTTTTTTGATGGCTCAAGTGACTAATTCAGATTCAGAGAAGTTCATCTCTATGATGCCAACTAAAATGAACCCAAGCTTAATTGTGGTTGAACCTGTTACAATTTGATGGTGGTATGAGATAAGCTTGGTGGTAAGTCTATAACCACAATTAGTAACAGTCTCAGCAAGCAGCTGGTAACCAAATGGACCCAAAGATCAAACCATCCTCTAACCCGTTGGCAACTTTTTCAGGCTGCAGATTGATCCAGTTTAGGTCAAAGGCTGTCAATGTGTGGTAGGCAGAAGCTAGGACCCAGCGCCACCACAGCTTTTCCCAGCAGGTACATAAGGAACTGCTTTGGCTGTGGTGGTGCTGGGAGGGCCACATGTGGCACTCGTCCCAACCACTGGGGGAACAAGTGCTGGATGCGGACACACTGCCTATGCCACCACAGGGGAAAGTGGGTTGTAGGTTGCCAACCCCTGCCATAACCTGTAGAAATGGTCTATTTGAGTCGTACACAACTTGGCATTTGAGACATAGAAGGGCAGTGTACAGAAGCTTTTGTTGATGCTGCTGCTATATGTACAAATAAAGATGTATAACTTTGTGGCCCCTGCACACTAAATTCATGCAGTTTTTATTTAGAAAGGCATTCAATACAAGCCAATGAGTTATTTGCCAGATGTATTAAGAGCCAGATACTCCATGGAGAAGGGAGTACATAAAAATGTCAGGAGGAAAGTTTTCTGAAGACAGAATTTTTTCTTCCAATAATCTTATTTCTGAGAGCATAATTCTCCATTTTTACACTACTTGTTGCAATAGTATGATTCCACTGAGTTATTCATGATCACCGTCATGTAAAACTAGTGTAGTAGTGGAGATTTAGGCCTCCCATGTGTTTGTATGTTCTTTAATGCACTTGTCTGACTCTCCTGCCCTGCCAGAAATACTTTTCCCAAGCTCATTGGTCCTGTTTTTAAACTGTTTGTCCCCTGTCCGTTTCCCAATAAGGACTGGACTGCAAAAAGTTCTGTTTTTCAGTTAATTGGTGGAAATACCTGTCAATGACTTCTCCTCGCAATTCTGTTGGCCCTGCCTAGAGCTAGGGCAGTGCACAACCATGGGGAGCAGGGTTCCCAGCCGGGGGGGGGGGAGGGATGTCACCTTTTTGTGATGGCATCACCCCTTGCTACTGATTGACCAAGGGGGTGATTGAGTGAGGAGGTGATGACCCCACCCCTCACTGCTGACTGGCTGAGGGGGTGCCCCTCAACCAGGGGCTGTCCTGTATTCTGGGGGTGTATCAGTAGCAACCCTAGTCACAGGAAAAACTTTGAATGACAGGTGAAAAGGCTCACAAATATGGTTATGGTTCTAGCTACACATACAAAACTGTGCCCGTCCCTTACATCAGAGCTGTCCAAGTTCAGAGTGACTGTGGCTGGATGCTGCATGAGCCCTCTGCCACACTGGCCATGCAGGTGCCCCCCACCCTGCTGAACAATGCTGTGGGGCCCCAGCATCCAAAGCCATGGGCTCCCTGGGCCCTGCAGGCCATGCTGTCCCACCACCAGGAACAGGGGCAGGAAACCAGAAGCTGAAGGAGGGAGGGGAGGCCCAGAGACACCAGCACCAGCTAAAGTGGTGCGGGGAGCAGCAACCAGACTACAGCCTACAGGCTCTAGGGCTGTGAGGTAGACAGCCAAGATGCTACATTATACTGGTGTGGGTATATTTTGTGGCATTGAAGCAGCCGATTGAGTTCAGTGTGACAGTAGGGCAGCTTGAATATCTTACATTTCCTCAACAGGTAGTGGCAGCGACCTCCTTTCCTTTGTGGCTTCCTGTTGTTGCAGGAGCACAAATGCTACCCCAGAAGGGAAGGGAGGCACTGGTCTCCTGTTATAAGAGAAGTGCAGGCATTGCTAGCTGAGGAACTGGGGATCTGATTTTTCATATTACTACAATTTTACAGGTTGTGTCCTTTTGTTACTGCTCAGCCTGCAATTAGAAAATAGCCCTTTACCATTTGTTGGAGTTCTCAGCTGTACTTCACAGGAATATCTATGTATATTTAATGCTAGTAATTTTAATAAATATTCTTATTTGTGTGTCAAAAGAAAAGTTGCAGATACTTATCTCTGGTGTGTAATCAACAGTGGTAGCATACGGAAAGCTAACCTTTCCTGTATAAAAATATGATGTGTTAAGCAAACTAACTGGTTCTTTTTATAGTGTATCTTGGATAACCAAATAATAGGTTGTATGTCAGGTATGGCTATGTGATAGTTTAACAATTTATATTTATTACACAAAGTGTGTGTGTGTGTGTGTGTGTGTGCACACACGCACACTATAAAACAAGCTTGTACTTTTAAATTTATGGTTTTAAAAATTGATGTGTATTAATGTAGATTTTTTTTCCCTTATATGTTTTAGGTTTCTGGGATGTTGGAAGTGATCGGACCAGAAGGTATTTTCTTATGAAGTATTCATCAGCGTAGGGTTGGTTTGTTCTTGGGTTGTTTTTGTTTTTTAGCATGAAGAATTTGTAACTTCCAAGCTGCTGATATTTTTAGTAGCTTCTTTAGCAGTTGTGTTTTTTATGAAATCATAAATAAAATTTTACCATCTATCTTTTTTATTTTCCAAAACCTGAGCCCTTGCTCATTTTTTCCTTTAAAAAAAACATTCCTTATATTTGTAGCATGTCTTTTGTGGGATCCCACTCACACAGTTTCAAAGCTAATAGTATATGTATATAAGCATAGAACTAAAGTGAGGTTTACTCTAGAAACTGCATAACTGAACTCTTCCCTGTCTGGAAAGTGGTACAGATCAGTAGTGACAATTGACTAACAAACCTAGGTACCTAGCATCGGTCTAGTTAATTTCTGATCCTGCTTCTGATCCAGCCAAGCCGCAAATGTAAAACAAAGGGAAATCTTTTTCAGTGTCTCTCGTCATAATAAAGCATATTAGCATCAGTTAATAGCTTAATCTTTTAATATCTATAGTCTTTTTCTGTCCTTTCTAAACTTGTAGAACATTTTCTTAGATGGTCACTAATCATTTTCAAGCGCTATCCCTGTTTTTCAATATATTGAAACTTTGACAACCCAGCATTAGTAGTATGCTGGTGAACTACTTTTAAATAGAAAAACGCACACTTCTGTGTGGTAGCCCAGCCTAAGTATAATGCATATCTTTGTTTTTAGATGGATTTATTTTACAAACCTTTACAGAATCAAGGTAAGAGAGATTTTATTTTAATGCTGAAAAGCCCAGAATACACTAGACATGTATATCTTTTTTTTAATACCATAATTTCTCACATACTGTACATCCTGGAATATAACATACACCTCATTTTTGAAAGGCAGAATGAAGAAAAAATATCTTTTCTTGTAGTAAGTAACTGAGTAGCAACAGCTAGGGGGCAGAGCCTGCTCATTGTTTTTCTTCCTGCGAGACGCATGCAGATTTTATTTCACTTGTGCCCATAACTGGCAGAAACTGTTCTTACTGTATTTCTCCCAGTTTTGAGCACCTGCTTTTTTGTGGAAAAGTATGTGTTGAATGTGAGAAGACCTGGTGATTCTACTATGGTAATTTACTGCTACATTAGTGGTGCTCCACCTTTTTTACAAGTGGATCAGACCTCAAAATCAGAAATGGGCCAATGGCTTATAGAAAAACATTATAGTTCTTACTTTGGCAAATCCTTATATTATGTGTTTTAAGTAACATGAGAAAGGTAAACATACATTTTAAATAATTTAGGCTTATTAATGCAAAGTAAAAAGTTCAGTATTCTGTAGGATAATTTTAAATTTTATAAAAATAATTAAACTTTTAGAATCATTACAAAACATAATAAGACCAACTGTAATATTATGCAAGATAACTGACAAATTCTTTCAGATGACTGATGGAGTTTGCCCAGCTGGGAGCACTTTACCTTGGATCCTTACACTTCTCAGTGCTCTGCCAGTGTTTTCTGAAGGGGGAGTAATGTGCTTTGGAAACATAGTGGGAGTGGGACTGTGCCCTGCTCCACAGCACTGGGGGTTTCTTTGAAATAACATTTTTTCAGGTGCTTTAGCCACCCTGTGTTGCACAAGAGCCCTATGGGTATGAGTGCACATGGCTACCAAGGGTAGGTCTCCACTTCCTTTCCCCTTCCAGGTGCCAAACTTTTCATTGGGCTTCAGAGCCTAGAAGCTGACCATGGATGCAATTCTCCTTCCCCTCTCCCCTCCCTCCTTCCCACTTCCCCTCACTAAATTCAGTGCTAGGGAAGAGAGGAGACAAGCAGCAGCGATACTCAGCTCCTGGACTCTGCAGCTACACAAAAGCAGTGGCTACAGCCCATGGTCATATGCAAGTGAGCTCAGAGCTTTCACGCAGCTCTGGACCCAGGAGCTGAGTATTGCTACTGTGCTCATGTCCTCTTTTCCTTGTTGCTGAATTCAGGGAGGGACAGGGGGTGGGGGAGTTGAACAGCAGGTGTTCTCAGTTCCTGGGCTTCAGACCTGCATGAAAGGTCTGAGCTGGCCAGTATGTCAGTACAGGTGAATGCCTCTCAACCTCCTTTTCCCTGTTGCTGAATTAACTGTCAGGGGAAAAGAGAGGATGAGTAGTAGAAGCATTCACCTGCATTGGCATACTGGTGTTGGACTGTTTGCGCTGTCTTCATAGGTTACCTCTGGCTCATGGGCCAGAGGTTGAACATAAATGGTCTATATCATTGCTGTTGTGGTGCTGTACCAGTGCTATGTGGTTTTAAAAATCCTAATATAGGGCTGAGTTCAACTAATGAAAAGTGGGTCACACTAGAGAAGGAAGGATAGTTGAAATAATCATGAAAATGTCAGCTGCCTCTCTTATAAATCACAGAATCATAGAATCAGTGAGTCGGAAGGGACCTAGACAGATTGAGTCCAACCCCCCATCACAGGCAGGAAGGAGCACTGGGGGTGGGAGGGGTTATAAGACCCCAGCCAGGTGCCTGTCCAGTCTCCTCTTGAAGATTTCCAGGGAAGGTAAGAGCACCACCTCTCTGGGAAGCCTATTCCAGGCTCTGGCCACCCTTACAGTGAAGTAGTTCTTCCTGATATCTAACCTAAACCTATCCTCCCTCAGCTTGTGGCCATTGTTCCTGGTGACTCCAAGGGGGGTCCTGGTGAACAGACTTTCCCTGAGTCCCTGCTGCTGGCCCCTGATAAGGTTGTAGGCAGCCACAAGATCCCCCCTCAGTCTCCTCTTGCGGAGACTGAAGAGATTCAGGTCCCTCAGCCTCTTCTCATAGGGCTGGCCACGGAGGCCCTCAACCATATGAGTGGCCCTCGTCTGGACCCTCTCCAGGTTCTCCACATCCTTCTTGAAGTGCGGCGCCCAGAACTGGACACAGTACTCCAGCTGCAGCCTGACCAGCGCTGCATAGAGGGGGAGCTAGACCTCTCTAGACCTGTTAGTGATGCCCCCGTTGATGCATGACAGGGTGCGGTTGGCTCTGCCTATTGCTTCATCGCATTGGTGACTCATATTCATTCTGGAGTTAATCATGACTCCAAGATCTCTCTCTGC